GCGGTAATTCCCTCGATATCGCCGCTATTTACCGCGCGATATCGCGCTCCAATGCTTGGCAATGGGGCAAAGGGTCCTGCTGTCGCGGGTCGTGTGTCGCTACAGCAGGACCCTTTTTGGAGCGCGCGACCCCATTGATTGCAATGGGGTTACATCCGCGCGGCAATTGCACACAATAAGGCACATGTACCTTTTTTTGCAACACACGACACGTGGCTTTTTATTACATGGGCGGAGACACGGCAGGAAACCACGCGATCCACGTGGCGGGATTGGGGTGCCTTTAGAAAATAATGGCACCACCAGCACTATCAGCAGTGGTGGGCGACTCCCTGACCACGCGGTTTAATGCACGATTGCCTCGCTGTCACGGATCGAATAGTGTGAACCTGGGCTAAGGCTCATTGTAGACCCGTATGGGCCGCCGGTCCCTTCTGTTCCCTCTATAGATCTTGGTAATGGGCAATAGAAGAGATTATTGCAGCTCTCGGATATACAGATCCTGATTATACCACCCACAACCATCGTATATTAATATATAGATTAGACTGTCTCTAAGAAGAGCTCTTGATTGGTCCAAACTGCAGCTTCAACATTTTAAGGAAGTTGTCAATGTAAAGGGTATCTATAAAAATAAATATCTAAACATAAACCAAAAAATCTCAACGCCAATACCGCTATCAGCTGCAAGCACTAGAGGAATCTACATTTCCAATAGTCCTAATATCGGTGTTTAAAATAAATCTATATTTCTTTATTAAATCTCCATAAGTTCTCTCCCGCTCCTAATAACCAGATCCATCTAGAAGTTTTTACACGTATGGAAGATGCCCATGGGATGGACTTCCTCAATGTACTGACACCATTTCACTCATCCTTGTGAATATGAACAGCCTGGTGTCACAACTTTCCTTCTGAACTACAACAATTCATCTGAACAATGTAACATTATCATTGCTTGCTGGGAGCAATGCATGATGGGATATGTAGTGTTGAGAAATGGAGATTACATCACATCAAGCAGCAGGGAAAGAGACACAAAGCACACTGGGAGTCCAGGAAGTTGTTGGAAGTGATGGGCAGACGGAAGGCGGCACTCACTACATAAAATGGATTTTTTTCCAGTAAGCTTTGATTGTATTATCAGACACAACTCTACTATGTATTCCTATTACACTGCTGATGTGATAACAGGAGAGGATGTGCTGGGATTTTACAACTCCGTTAACCACCTCCCATCCATTGGCCATTCCTGATTGGAAATGCTAGGACTCTACAACTCCTTCAATGCTGATATGAAATAGTAGAGAATGGCTCTTGCCATGTTGTAATTGTAATAAATGAATGGGTAACCCTGATGACCGAATGATAGTAGAAAGTAGCAGAATAACGATGATCTGCAATAAGGAGCTGCAAATGAGACCTTTCCCATGAACCGCTCATATCCCAGCGCTCACATTGATGTATCCCAGATAAGATTTCGTAAAGCAAAGAAGCAAAGCACCCGATCCAACAAACCGAGTGTATACAATGTATACAGACATCTTTATTTACATACATGTATATCATTTGTACATAGGCATTTGTAGAATGGATTTGACAACAATATGGCAGCACTTTAGTCTTCTGTGAAACGCTTGGGCTCTTATACGGGGGGGGGTTCGATCTTGTCTGACATTGACATTATTTTAATGAGGCTGACAGCACTTTGTTGTTCAACTTTTAAAGAACAACTCCAGGCAGTGAAAAAGTTAACTCTGACACTGGGGCTACCCCTGCAACCGCAAGGGTTATCTGCTCATTTTGGTCTAGAGTCTAAAATGACAAAGATATAGTCGCCTGATCCTCGGTCCTGCTTGGCTGCTAGAGTTTTAACCTCTTCCCCTCTGCTCCGGCGGTCTAAGCCCCACGGATGTCATTGGCTTGCATTAGACGCAAGGACTCCGAGGGACATTCCACAGCCTGAGCGGACCGGGAGAGAGTGTATCAGTCACCGCTGCAGGACTGATGATCAGGTGAGTGTATCTTTTTAATTTTAACCTCTACCAGAAAAAAAACAAAAAACCAAAAAAGAGCATTTAACCTTTGCAGCGTGGGGGGGAGGGGCCCTTCATGTCTAATACACTGTATAGACGTGATGCCATTGGCCCAGGAGAGAAGAGGCTGCAGTGACTGGACTAGCAGCCAGGTGGGACTGAGGATCAGATGAGTATATCTGGTTTATTTGACTGTCCTAGACAAAATGAGCATTTAACCTTACAGTGCAGGAGGGGGGTGTAACCCCACGACAAGGGTTCATTACTGCCCGGAGTTCTTCTTTAAGCAAGATGTAAGATTTATGTGCAGACCTTCCATCGTGCAGCAAAAATACCCCCACACCCTACAGTCTGATTTATAACTGATATTAAATTGATATCGAACTCTGATGGTTATTGATGATATAATAACGTTGCTACGATGTAGCATTTTCCACAGGATTCCACAGGAACATACGGAGTGATAAGTGGCTCATACAATGCAGAAATAAAAGCCACTCCACCTTCGCAGACCCGATATTCCATGGGAACTGCGGCGCTTAGCGTAAGTCTCTGCCGGACCCAATCAGCAGCAAATGAAAGGGAAATGAGCAGCCACTTGTAGGAATCCTCTTAATGGCGTCTCTTTATAAAAAGGCATAAAAGCACCTACAAAAATTGCTGCAAGTGGCACATACTGTAGGTTGACTGGGCGGTATAATGTAGATCAGTCTATAGCCGCCCATACACCTATAGATTAGCTGCAGATTTTCAATGGTCAGATGGAAAAAGTGGAACGGATTCCTTCATCTACGCTAAACTGTGTGTATGGGGGAATCTCCCGCTGGGTCAAGCTTCAGTATCTTGCAAGTCGGCGCCCTGGGTTGTCAAAATGCCTCGATCTGATTGGATGCCGGCATTGTTCAGGTGTTTTCAGAGCCAGCGGGGCCGACTAGCAAGATACTGAAGCTTGGCCCAGCGGGAGATTCCTCCATACACACAGTTTAGCGTAGATGGAGGAATCTGTTGCACTTTTTCCATCTGAACATAGAAAGTCTGCAGATAATCTATAGGTGTATGGGCAGCTTAAGTCTTCTGCAGTCTCCCTAAAACCCCAGCATGACCAAGATCAGTATGGCATGCTGACTCCTGGTATGGGAATGGCTGCCTGCTTACCTAATTTTTTACTAATTAAGACACTGATGGCTAAATTATAAACACATCAAAATATGAATGCCACAGCCGTCACGGTCCTGTGTACCACTGTGGATCCATATTGCCACAATAGATATGTAAGTGCACTTATTCCATAAAATAGTTGGCAACCTTTTCATTAATAAAAAATAAAAGTAAGACCTTATAATATTAAATAACACCTGATACAGGCTGCACCCTCCTATTAACGGAGTGGTAATATTAATTATAAAATATTAGATGTCAGTAATTAAATATCCCGTACCTCTCCGACAGACCCCCATTCCCTGAAGATTAATGTAAGAAGTCCATCTCTGTGGCAGACATGTCTCAGTATCCATGCAGGACACCCAATAATGGCTTGTGCACACAAATGCTTCAATGTATGCTGTAACCATGTTACACTGATGAGTAGTGCACTGAGCAAGCTTGGGGCAATAAATATAAATCTTGGCAGTACTGACATGAAGATGACAATTGCTAAACACTTAGGGGGTCTATTGATAAAATAAATCTGCATAGCCTATCCAGTGAAACTGCATACACATTTTTTCTGTGCAAGTTAACCAGCTGTTGAAAATGGAGAATAAATGAATGTTCTCAGTGTAATTTCTCTTCTGATCCAATGTGCTTCAATAGGTATACAGAACAGAGTGAATGGGGTGATACAGTATTATGGCCACTAGATGGCGCTGAGGATCCTAGGAAATGAATACATGTTAGTAAGAAGATACAATGTTATAATTCGAGAGAATGAGCATATCAATGTAACCACTGATACCACAGAGATAGTAATGGTTACATTTATATGATCATTCCTTCCAGTGTTCTCTTGAATTGTAACATTGTATCTCTTTACTAACATGTATTTATTTCCTATGATCCTCCGCTGATCTCTGTTTGTTATCTCACACAGAACGAATGTACATGCTGTTTCGTTAGACAAATAAGCTATGCAAAATCTTTATACTAAACCTCTTAGAGAGATTTGTATACATGCAGAAGGAACTGGGTGCCTTTGAATTATCTTTCTCATTCTGTATCCCTAACATGTGCAGGACATTGCAGTGCAATACTGTATATATCCTAAAGCATAGAACATTTTAACAAATTTCAAGGCTTAAGTCACCCAAAATACACAGCTGTAGCTGCCTGACTCACCTATATCCTCCAAGGAGCCAATCTCCTGCAATTTATTTTATTAGTCTTTGATAGCGAGAAGAGGAGATAGCATTTCTGTCGGTTTTTAATTCTGTGTAACCTCACTGAAGAGATTTATCTTCACTTCCTGTTCTTGTGACACCCTTATAAGAAATAGGGAAAGCAGTTGTCACTGGGACAGGGAGGCAGAGACGACAATAAAAACATTGCCAGAAGTTCTAACCTTTCTGTGCTCTACTAATAATGTGCTTTTGTTTCTGTCTGTTTCCTTTTTCAAGAGATTTACTACCAATTGCCTTTATGGGGAAGGAAGTTGAATCTCCTGAACAGGGACACAGCAATAACAACCCAACTGCAAGTGTAACCCTTCCCTGGTCTATCCAGCCTGCAATAAAAACTTTACACATATAGCAAAGGATATCTGTCTCTTCTCTACTGGACTCCGCCACATGAGGCTTCACCCGTATCCTCTGTTAGAACCCCTGAGCAGCCACCACCAAGGGGCACATTAAGCTTCTCATGGCCTCAAGGTGGTGCTACCATAATAAGACACCCTACCTGGAATCAACATATAAAACACAATTATAAAAATAATATATTAAATTTGGAAGGTCCAAAGGTTGGTGATGATCACCACAGAGGTGGGTGCCAGCCAGCCAGGTAGTACAGGTACGGGTAGCAGTGGTAGTTCTGGTAGAAGCTTATGAGAGAGTTCCGGCTCAGGTCGCCATCACGGCTCAGGATGGGGAGAGTTGAGGTCTTGTCCAGTTCATCCAGGTCAGTGGCCAGCTGTTTCCTCTTTGTTTTATATCTCCGGTTCTGGAACCAGATCTTCACCTGGGTCTCGGTCAGCTTCAGGCTCTTGGCCAGCTGGGCTCTCTCCGGAGCGGACAGATATTTCTGGCTGGAGAACTTTCTCTCCAGTTCTATCACCTGGGAATGTGAGAAGGCAGCCCGGGACCGCTTCTGAGGATGCTTGGCCACTTTGTCCTCCTCCGCTGTGGGCTGCTGAGGCGTCTCAAAGCCCAGCCGTTCCTCTGCCATCTGATCTTCTGCTAAAAGGGACAGAAGAGGACAGTGATTGGTTATATCATTCCATACCACAGAGGTCTGATTGGACAAACAGAGGAGATGCAAAAACTGTGTTACGCTGGGTATACACTGGAAGATTTTTGTATGAACGTTCATTTGAAAAATTTGGTCAGAACATTGGATAATGCCATCAGAGACTTGACAAATGTGGTTCAAGATTTAATTTGATTTTAACATTCGTTTTTGGAAATTAAAGTTTTTGAAACTGTTAGAATTTTGTTGGATCAAGAAACATTTTCCATCTTGCTCCTTCGATTTACTTGTTTTGCCATTATGGTCCAAAATCCATCAATGATTTCATCTCATTAACTATAAGGAAATCGAATGAATATCTCAAAAACAAATATTTTCAATCATTCCACCTGGGTATACCCAGCTTTCCTTATAGCAACTAACAAGATGATAATTATTTTTCTGTTGCAGGATAGAAAATAAAATAACTAAATTATTTTTCACAAGTAACTTGTTCCCTTTAAATCTTGCAGCGTTTATAAAATTTTATCAAAAATTGAATTTTACAAAATTGCGTAAAATTTCATTTGGTAAAGTAAATCTCTGAATTGGTGCTGACACTGTCCTTCCTTCTGGAGGGGGCCAATTTTGTTCCCCATGGTCCTTGTGTGGGTTGTAAAGTAGCCACCACTCTGAGCTCACTCCTGTGATGGACTACAATCTCATGTTTAGTTTACTAATTTGTATTGAGATTGTAGTCCATCACAGGAGCGAGCTTGGAGTGATGACTACTTTACAACACACACAGGGACCATGGGGAACAAAAGTAGCCACCCTCCGGAAGGAAGGACCGTGTCGGCACCAATTCAGAGATGATTTGAGGATCTACAGCCAAGTGATACACAAAGAAGAGACATTGTTGTTAATAGTTAAGGTTCTTGGAGGAATTTTTAGGATTTATCTCCTGAGTTTAGTGTCTCTTTAAAGTCCCTCAGTAAAATGCCTATGGTACGAATTCCCACCACAGATGTGTGTGTGTGTGTGGCAGGGGTCTGGAAATGGGATGCTTCTATTTACTGGTGAGGAGAGGCTGGTGAATTAGCAATGACCCCTCTGCCCTGTTCATGTTCATTTAACCTGTAAAAACACACAAGTAGCCCTGTGGCTGGTGGGGGAGATGAGACAGGAGAAGGAGGGTGGAAGAAAAAAGCTGTGTGTGGGATGCAGTCAGCCATGTACTCGCACAGAAGTAGCACAAAGCATAAGTCATTCATCTTGACAGGCAGACAACACTGCAGAAAGCCAACAAACACAAGAAGGACAACAAACTCCATGCAGATATTTTTTCAGGTGGGATTCAATCCCAGGACACACAGAGCTACATTGCACAGAGTGCTAAAAAAAATATTAAAGGAGATTTTTGTCATAGCCGGACTCTGCTTCTGAAAAAGCTAGCTGCCTGGATGTCATGCTGATCCAGTGGCCTTTATATATTTTGAGGCATTGATTCGGAACAAGCATGCAGTTCTGGAGTCCTCACATCACTTTTCCTAATCTGCATGCTTCTTCCGGGTCAGTGACTGAAGCCAGAGACAGCCAGGAAAATGGCATTCTCGAGCGCTCAGCAATGGCAGCCCCTATAGATACAGATTTCATTTGGGGTTTTTTTCCTTTAACTTTAGGCTAAAATGTATAGATTGTAAGTTCTCATGAGCGGAGTCCTCTAATCCTTTGTATGGTGTTGTATTACTGTCTTCCCATATGCTGTGAAGCGCTGTGCAAACTGTTGGCGCTATATAAATCCTGTATAATAATGATAATAATAATAATGATAATAATAATAATAATAATAGTGGGATGGGCTTTAAATGGCTCCTAATATTTACAGAAGCTTCTTCCAGACATCCTGCACC